TTGTTTTGTAAAACTGGTCAGCATATAAAGTAGCATTATATGTCAAATGTTTGCAGAGACACAATTTATTATTTAAATGGGAGGTTTTTGTAATTGTGTAAATTAGTGGTTTATCCCTTCTACTGTATATAGCTATTATGAGCCATTATGTTTCGGCAGAATTTTGCCAGTTTTTAGGGCACTAACCCTTCAGATTAGACAGACTACAACAGGTCATCCATCCATCCATCCATCCATCTTCTCCCGCTTATCCGTGGTCGGGTCGCGGGGGTAGCAGTTCCAGCAGAGAGCCCCACATTTTATTTTCCCTGGCGACATCAACCAGCTCTGACTGGGGGATCCCAAGGTCAGACACTGTAAATAATTCGAATGGTTTCTTTTATTTAATATTCATGCCCTTGGAGCAGGCACATAATTATTTATGTCGTAAATCTCCCCTTTGGAATGGTAATCTTGGATTAAGTCGTGGACTTCGGGTCGTGGCTGAATCTGTCTCTGCGGTCCTGCCTTGGGTCTCGTCATGCTGCTTCCCTGATGGCTTCCACAGGGTTGTAGCTGACATCCTCGTGGATTCATCTTCTTATTACAGACACATGCATTTCCTAACATTCGGTCTATATGCTGTAAACTGTATTATCTCTTCGATTTACACACGGCATCTATTGCACGTCTGTCCGTCCTGGGAGAGGGATCCCTCCTCTGTTGCTCTCCCTGAGGTTTCTCCCATTTTTTCCCCTTAAACTGTGGGTTTTCTCTGGAAGTTTTTCCTTGTACGATGTGAGGGTCTAAGGATAGAGGGTGTCGTTTTTCTCATACTGATATTCTGAACAATCTGTGCTGTTGTATTTGCTGTAAAGTGTCTCTACTGTAGGCTATTTGTATTTTATGTACAGCACTTTGGCTCGACCAAAAATCTTTATAAATGTGCTATATAAATAAAACTTGATTTGATTTGATTAATCTTGTCTTTTTTTAATATCAACGCCTTTTTTTTTAAAGATTCAACTTGACACTGTTGTTTATTGAGTGCTGAGTCCGCATTTGTTGTGTCTTTGCACTGCAGAAGCGCCATGACCCAGCTAAAGGAAGGTTGGTGGTGTGTGGTCATGGGACATTGGCGGGAGACGGAGTGTTTTGCATCCTGAGTGATGACCACGGACGTAACTGGTACAATGGCGCCCAGCTGAAAAGCATCCCTTACAACCACAACAAGAAAGCACTGGACTTCAACCCTGATGAGTGTCAGGTAAATTGCTGCAGCCATGTCAACTGAAACTAAATCACTTGTGGTTTAAGAGAGTTTGAGACAAAATGATCATATATGTTCACAATGGTTCAATTTAAAATATCACCATTTTCCAAATACCTCCACACAACTATATATACATATTCACATTAAAAATCTTTATAATATTATATCGCCATTCATAAGTGTGTTTTTATATTAACAACTAATCAAATATTATATGTAATGTGAAACTGACAGAGATTTGCCACACATTTGCCACACATTTTTGCAACCCTGTTTTAGCTTTGGATGTACTTTATAAGTCTCAGTGCTCCTATAAACTCAGTTTATATCAGCTGTTTGTAGGCATTTATAAGTATTAAACATATGACAAGATTATATGATGAAGCCACTGTATGCTGCCTTTGAAGCAACAAACAGCAGACACTTAAATTAGAAGGCATTTTTTTAACAATTCAACAGGAGTTAAATGCAGTAAAACAAAGCAAAAATCGAGTGCATATCCTACTTAGTCGAGTAACGCTTGACTTATCTGTTAGTGGTTTTAAGTATATTAGTTGATCATAAGTTTCTTATACAAAACAGAAAAGAAGCTTTGAAAAATGACTTGTGAAATTATTGGATCTTTGAGCCAGCGCTCTGTGACAATTTTCTGCTACGCCAAGGGTATAGCACTTCCGACTAGTGGGGCTTCTCCCTCAGAACACAACGGCACAGCCATCGCAGAGTGGTTTCACTGGTCATGTGAAGGCAGCTTTAGCCATAATAACTTTTAGTAGGGCTAATAATCTCTCAGCATTTTGTTGAGTTCTTCTGCCCTCTAGTGGGGAAAAGATTTGCAGCTGTCAAACGAATGTTTAGTAAAAACATGCAGTTATCTAAGCCGTCATGTGATGCCTCCATGGCAATCATTTCCAAGGTTTTATAATTAATCTAACATTATATAATAAATGTTCATATCATAAAGAAAGAAAGACTAATTCTCTCTGCTCCTCTGCAGCCGATTGAGTTGACGGACGGCACCATTGTCATCAACGTTCGAAACCAGAACCGCTACCACTGTAACTGTCGCATAGTGGTACGCAGCTATGACGGTGGGTTGACTCTGCCCATAGATGATCTGTACTTTGACACTGAGCTGGTGGATCCTACAGTAGCTGCTGGAGCTCTGCAGAAAGACGGAGTGCTCTTTTTCACCAACCCCTCCAGTGATCAACACAGTAAGAACAGCTAAGAGTATCTTATTTTTCCTCAGATGTATCCCTAATACTTGGATGTAAAAGTAAAAATACTCTGTTACAAATAAAAGTCCTTGATTGAAAGGTTCCAAAGTGGGTTAAATGAGATACTCAATTATGTTGCACTGCTGCTGCTTTCCTTATAGGCCAACAAAAATCCACTCATTTACTTTACATCAGACAAATCGTCTTCGTAAAAATAAATCTTCAGTACATCATAATAACTCCTTGCCTTTTCCCCCTCAGGAATTAACCTCACCTTACGTTGGTCGATGAATAATGGCCATTCATGGGTAAAACAAGCAATGCAGATTTGGTCGGGTCCAAGCGCATACTCCTGCCTGACATCACTAAAAAGCGGCTCTGCAGAGGACCAGAAGTTCATCTATGTCATCTATGAGAAGGGCTATAAGGACTATGACGAGACTGTCTCATTCGTCAAGATCCACCTGTATGGTGGCCGGTAGGGCATGTTGGTGGAAGGTAAGCAGGCAAGTAATTAAAATCAAAAGGCATGAAAACTGATTTCTATAGTTTGACTTTTGTTATAATTTCATGTTCTGATTGTTTCCCAGATTCAAATTTTGGAGTGAAAGGGAAAAGGAAGCTGTTTATTTCCCACAACTTTCTCACGAAAATATAAAGACTTTTTTAAACTCACTATGAAATTGAAAATGGGAATATGAGCGACAATGAAACAATGAGAATGTTTGTGTTTAGCCTGTGATATTGTACAAATGAAATGTTCTGCATATTTTATCTTTCTTTTCTCTAAGATTCCCACTATATATGAGACTGTATGAATAATGGACTGTACATTTTTCTGGGTGTGGGATTTGTCCAAAAAACGTTTTCTGTACAGCTACAATGATTGGTGGGTTGCCTGTTGCTACACAAAACGAAAACATGACCAAGAAAGGTACAACAAATGTTCAACATTAGTTTCTAAGCAACATGAATCGAACTGTCTTGAAGGGAACAGCATCATCTCGTTATTATACTAAATGATGACGATTAAAATATCATCAATCATCAATCGCTAATTTTACAAGCTGTCAGATTCACTTCCGGTTTGACGATGGTGTTTAGCCTTTTGTCATGCGTATGCACTTATATGGTATTTCCTATGGGGTTGTTGAAGTATTTTAGAGAAAAAGAACAGTTATAATAAAAAAATTAGGTCTGTGTGATTGAATATATGCGTGAAAAGGAGCGAATCTCTTTATGATCTCATTATGATACCAAAGTGTCCTCTTTTGCACTGAACTCGTTGAAAAAAAATGTAAACTATTCCTTGTATTATATAATTTTACACAGGGTAACAATACATTGATTTCACGCATCTGAGTAATAAACATGTTTTTCTAACAGTTTAAAAAACGTTTTCTTTGTTGGCAACGCTGAGCAGATTTCCGTTGTCATGCATGATTAAGCAAGGCAACACTGACCTGAATTCACAAAAACCTCTCCATCAAAGACGCCTTAATAGAGTAATTGGTACTTTACATTTTACAGTTATAAATTGTATGTATGTGTAAATGTCCTCTCTGTGGGACGAATAAAGGTATTCTGATTCTGATATGTTACCTTTATTTTTGCATTAGGCCTGTAACTGTTCAAATCTCAATGTGACTTGTACTTGCTCAATTAAAGGATAAATTCATATCTACATTTACGCCTAGAAATTGATCATGTAATACAGATGGCCAAATCCAGATTACAAAACATAAATCAATACAAACAGTAAATAAAAAATGTGGTAAAATGTGCAATTAAATTATAATTAAATTGTCAAGACACATTTTTGGTGACATCTTAAAATCTGGCTATTTTTAAGTTGTTTTTCATGATAACTAATGCAATTAAGCAATTAAAAGCACTTCCCACAGAATAGACACAGTACACCTTCAATTCGTGCAAGTATGGATTTTGTAAGGATCATTTAATCAAAGGTGGCACTTTGTAGTCAGATTTTCTACTTAAGTAAAAGTAGGAAAACCATAGGAATAGGCTTACTTTTACAAGTAAAAGTCATGTAAAAGTAACATTATGAAGATTAGCCTACTTCAGAATCATATATTAAATGTTTCGGTTATAACTATTGATGTGTTTGTCAAGCTGTTAACTTGAAACTAATGTCAGCTAATTGTGAATTTAATTGAGGTGTATCTAAGTATTTTTTAAGTGTTGATCTTATTGTTAATCATTATTCTATATCTGCAAAGAAACTAAAGTTACTAAATAAACGTAATGGAGTAAAAGTACAATATTTAACTCAAGTACTTGAGTAAATGTACTTAGTTACTTTACACCACTGAATTTGACCAACTGTAAACTTTGTTTTTTTTATATACATATTATATTATTTTTATTGAAAAAATGATCCTGTATGGATCATTTTTTTTTCTGGCTGAGTCGATTTTTACAGTATGGTGCTACAATGTTTGATTTGGGAGTAATCCAAGGATATTCAGATAAAATGTTAACAATCACAAAGATTGCCTTGTACCTTTTTCAGTAACTCAGTGAATTTCAAAGTAATCTGACCAACCCTTCACATTTCACATTTTGGAAATCCCTAATTGTGACAGTTAAAATAAATTGATAAATTACATTAAAAAAATGTATAGCAAATCACCTTTATTTGAATACATATTCCATCCACAGTAAAGTTAATACGTAAACGTTTATTCTAAAGCGTCTTTTCCTAACTGTCCCAAACGGCTTCCATCTCACGAAATTACCCAGTAGCCGTTGACGGCTCTTTAGGTGACGGATCGAGTCCAGTATTACAATTTTCTTTTACCCCTTTTCCTTTATTTTTTGGGCCAAAAAAAGAGAAAAGGATTGCAAGTAAGCAGCCGAACACCTTATTTGTCTGTATGGTACAACTGATTTCTTTGTTGGTCGATCTACTGCAAAGACCGTATGTGTTTGACTATGCAGGAGGATAACGTTGCTTAGCTAGCTGGGTCACTTGCTAGAAAGCTACAAGATAGCATTAGCTAACCTCATTCTGCGATACAACCTCGAGACAAGTCGGGACAAGACCAGGTCAGTGGCCGGAAAATGTTGCATGTTTTAATGCAAACACCGATTAGATACATTGAAGTTGGCAGAAATCCTCACTATTAGCCTTGGACACAGGTTTTTTCTAACCCGTGGATGTTTTGCGGAGGGGCAGTCTTATTTTTGTGTGTCTTGGTTGTTGTTGCTTGTTAGCCTAGCTTGGCTAAGTGCTTAACGTTTGTCATAGCAAATGATTGAGTTTAATAGTTGTTTTAATCTCCATATTTATATCACATTTCTGGTGAACCTGGTTTAAAAGTTAGCTCTTTGTTGAAATAATGTAAAATGTATGTTTTGCTAACGATCCACTGCGTAGCTAATGTTAGCGGATACACGTTAGCGCAGGATGCTTGCTAAAACACTGTCAGTCTGCGATGCATTGGCGTTTTATTTTCATTTATATATTTCAAAACGATAATCCTAAAGGTTCCCCTTATCCAGTGTCTGTATATATATATATTAGCTGTATGATGGAAAGTGTGCTTTGTTAAAGCGAAGTTATGCTACACAGTCGGTTATATTAACGTTGATATGCACCGGGCCCGTCTACACCGCCATTTTGTTTTGTTCTCTTAATAAAATCAGGTTTTTTTCAGCGTTTTCCTTTGCCTCTTTCAAACGATAAATAAACATCAACGTCGATGATAACGCCAATTCGCGATGTCGCTGTGTGATTCAAAACGCAACACCTCACAGAGTTGAATAGATATAGAAGCTAATGTTACCGCAAGGTGTTGAGAAAGCATTATGAAACACCAACGCAGTCCCCCTCCCAACGGGAACACCAGGGCCTGTGTTAGCACGCTAACATAAGTTAGCACCGCAATAAAGATGTATTTTTACGCCTGGGGCTTCAGCAGTTCGATGTTTGACTATTTTGTGGCAAGTGCATTTGCTACCGGCTGATTTTGCCTTACTATGTTCGTGTTTGTGGTTAACGCTAGCTTCGTTGGGCCTCTTTGTGGTAAACGTTGCTGCAGTTATGGCTTTTTAGCAGTGTTGGCCCCCGTTAATCCCCATACAGCATGTAGTTGACTAGCCATCCCACGACCTAATTTTCTAATCTCATTTGAGTATTGTGGCACGGCGCAAATGTGCTACCGGTAGCCATTTGGTTGTTTAGCGTTTATTATGTTGCTGCTCGATGTGTGTGTGTGTGAGTATTGCCAACATCGTGCGTTTTGGAGGATTATCTGTACGCAGTAAAGGCTGTACGTTCGCGTTTTGTAGCATTGCTTATAATTCTGGTTTCATATTCATATATCCTGATTGAAGTTGTTTATTTGACTTTACATATTCACACCAATGTTGTTCATCATATAGCTAGCGATATGAGCGTTGTTACAGCCATCTTTTAAGAGAGATGTTCTGGTTAACTGTTGATATCATGATTTAGGGTACAACATACTATTTTTCTTTGTATACATTTAAATGTTGATTGGTTATTTATAACACCACAAAATATATGTAGCTAAAGCCTTAGTTCAATTGTTCTTCTGGTAAGGAACCATGTGGATGAGCTCCCATCTTTTCATCAAATAATTGAAAGCTAGTGTTTTTGTTATTATTAAACCAGGTCAAAGGATTATACACGCACGCTAAGAACTACACTTCAAAATTCATACCCATTGTTTCTGTTTGTCATTTTAAGAGTGCCATTTAGGACAAAAGTTAGCTAAATATGCATTAGCTACAGCCATACATATAGACTTTTATATATAAATATTTAAAAACACACATGACATATATATATACACACATACTTGTTCCAGTTACGTTTTGCTTTTTAGAAATGTAATCCAAACTTCAATTGACTTGTCGAATTCCAATGTCATTTTCAACTCTAGCCTGTTCCCTGACTCAAACTAAATTACTAATGTTATTTGTAGAATAATAATCTGATGAGCATCATCTGTTCTCAGTAATTGTTCCTAATGGGAGTAGGATGGAGTGGGTTCAGTTGTTTAACCTGCTTGATGCAGCCAAATCACTCTGAATTGGACAGATGTTAGCACTGTGTGTTTTATTGATGTGCAGTAAAATTAGTTCAAGCTAAAGGCCTGGCAGTTGCCATGGAGCCAAGAGATGGCATAGAAGAATATCATTTATTATGTGTTGCCATAGAGACCATGGCTCAGCTTTTCCCCTCTCTTTTGTACAGTGTTTCTTGTAATAAAGTGTGTAGTCATGCACTGTTCTAGTTCTGTTCTCATTAAACTGCATTATAACTGCATATAATAGATTATGTGATTTAAAAAATATACCTTGATATCTTCTGGCAAGCACACATGATACAAATGTGGTGCAGTAGAATCCATATTGTTTAAGTGGTTGAACTTATACCATCATTTAAATCTGAGTTGTGTTGAAATGCAGAACTGTCTTTACTAAACTGGTAAATGTAGAAGACCAAAGCATTCCTTTGTCAATGTCATCAAATACTTTATTAAACTAAATGTATCGGATGAAAATGAATAAAGGATGCTGGCATTAAAAGGTGTTTTTTGTATATATTTTTTAAATCAATTTGCAAGTACATCATTAAAGTGCATACTGGTCAACAAGAAATTTCTGTGGTTTTATTGACTACCTATGTGATTAACAGGTTCCACAATGAATAAATATTGCATTGTGAATGGTAATTAGTGGAATTGTTGGCAGTATTTTCGCTTCAATAAGTCAGAAAAGCCTCATCTTTGTGTGGATTGGTATTGAGTCTTTATAGTAGCACTAGAACTGGGTGATATGGAAAGTTAAATACAACTGTATTTTTTTAAGAATCACAGTGTTTCCCCTATATACATTCAGCAGCGGCGCTGCACCGCTGCTGAATGTATGCACGCCGCTGCTACGAGGCGCCAGCGAGGTATATATTTTTTTATACATTAAAATAATAATACGTGGAGCTCGCGTCATCGCCACGGAGGAGCACACAGCCTCTGTGAGCTAGAGAGCACACCTTTTATCTATTTAATATAGTTGTAAAAAATAAAGTAAGAAATCGTTCCAATATAGGACAGTACAACAAGTTTAAAAGGGGAGTGATTAGTAAAATATGCATAAAGAAAGAATACTAACTAGTAGTGCTCAATTATGGCAAAAATCATAATCTCGATTATTTGGGTCAATAATTGATATCACGATTATTAAAAACAATTATCCATTTACTTTGAAAACATCAATTTATTGGAGAAAAAAATGTGAACAGTATGTTTGTAACAGTTGATTACCCTGACCTTAAAGGTGGGGTAGGTAAGTTTCAGAAACCGGCTCGAGTGCACTAACATTTGAAAATACACAGCCGAAAAGAATCCGCCCCTTCCTTCAGACTTCCTTACAGAGCACCTCCTCCAACACACATGAACGCGCACATGACGTCAGCAGACTGGTGAAAGTGGCCGCCTGTTGCTGGCGAGTCATTGAAGTACTGCTGCAATGCACGCCCAATGATGGCACGCCCAATGAGGGCACGAGATACATTTGTGCGTGCACAAGATGGAAGGCTGACAGACAGGGCGGCAATCCAATCCGGCTAAACGGATTGGTTGTACTTTTTACAGTACTACGGCTTCCACAGATGACATTTTTTTATGGATTTTTTGTCAAAGCACTTAAGATATTCATTGCTATCGGGATGTTAAGAGCATTCCATGGAATATAACAAAAAGTGTATCTCTAGCCGGTTTCTGAAACTTACCTACCCCACCTTTAAGTATAATTCAACTGAAAAACCAATAATAAAAACAATTAATAAAAAAATAATCGTTTTATTTCGATTACGTAGTTTTCGTAATCGTTGCAAGCCATAATCGTAATTGTGATTAAAATATGATTAATTGAGCAGCCCTACTAACTAGGTAACATAAGATAAGAATAAACAAGTTTAAATAATTTGTTATTGGTTGTGATCATATTCTAAAGATGTTTGGATTATTGAAAAGTATGTTGAGAGCTGTATCCATAAATTCATTTTGTGCTGAAAGTCCACCAGATTGATGCATTAAACTTCAACATTGAAAAAAATAATAATAATCGTCCCGGGGGTGCATGCCCCCGGACCCCCCTAGAGGATGTGAGGTCCACCCCCAAATAAAGCAGGACAAAATAATTAAATTGCATACATTTTATTTTTGATTGTTTGTTATGTGGATGTGTAGTATTTGTGTTCCTGTATGTTCATTAAAGGTGATTTAGCAAAATACAGTGCAGTGTGAGAAAACGTTTTTAGAGAGTACTTGTCCATGGACAAGTGAGTTTGGCAATTTACTTGTCCGAATACATTTTTCACTTGTCCAGAATGGACAAAAATTGGGGCCACTGGAATCTTCGTCATCGTATTTTACATTTTCCCACGGTTTTTACGACACCGCTAACGTAAGTGAGCGGTAAGATTTTACTGCATCACACATAGGGTTGGATATCGTTTGGATTTGAACGATTCCGGTTCTGCTTTTCGATTCCGGTTCTTTGAGAGGGTAAAAATAAGTCAAACTGGGAGAAAAATATATTTATGAAAATATTAAGTCAAATCTGTATTCCTATTTACAAATCACTTCATACTGTTTAATTTCTTACAGTTATTGAATACAATTATATACAAATAATCTATGCATTGTTTAGTTAGTTCTAAGTGGTGCAGTTTGAGAATGTACAATTGGCCCAGTCTCCTCTGATGTTACACTGCAACCTGCATGTGAGACAGAGTCCAACCACACATATCCAACACATAGGACATAACCTAATAATAATAATAATGACACATTAGATGTATAGCCTATAGGCCTAGCGCTTTTCTACAACTCAAAGACGCTTGCACGCTTACACATGTCCTGCAATACACATGCTGCAGCTGCCCAGCTGCTCACTGTTTGTAAAAGTAAATAAATAGTATTTTCATTTCAATAATGTACTTTCTATACCCTGCTTCATAAACAATACTGACATCCCTGTGCTCCTCTGAGTCTGGGGGTCCGGGGATGTGAGGACAGCGTGAGGACACAGACAGGGAGGCTGCTTCACTTCATAAAGGAAATGGCGGTCAATATTAACAACACAGGAGCTAAAACGCTTAATAACCTTCATTACGTGTTAGAGAAAGAACATACGAAAGTTTGACAAAGATGAGGCTGTTAAACGGGCAGCGGATCTGCTGTGTGTAGAAAGAGAGAGAGAGACGCTGAGCTGCACCGTGCAGCGATCAGCTGATACGGAGCATGCAGAGCTGCAGTCCGCGGGGCTCGGCCTCGCCTCCTGTCCTCACAACTCTTATTAATCCCGGTACCGGACAATTGTTATTTGTTCCTACTCGGAACCGAGTTTTGCTTCCCAACCCTGCCACTGTGCTACACTTCCCGCCCCGCCCCCGTCTAACTGTACAGAAAGCGCGAGATGCATTTCCTTAGGAAACGACAAGCAGAACCGAAACTAACATTTCTAAACGAACAATGGCGGACACGTACAATTTGCGAATGAGTTCTGCCTTTTGTAAACTGAATGTATCAATAATTTGTCAATAAACGTCACTTGTCCGCCGGACAAGTCAATTGACAGATCTACTTGTCCGATATTGTAAATAACACGTCCCGGACGGTGGGACGTGTACTTTTTCGCACACCTGTAGAGCCTCAAGAGCCTTTCTTGTGCTGGCAGACACATAGAAACATATTGGCGGGGCGCACTTTGCACGCACAAACACAACAAAGATCCACTCGCTCCGCGCTCACATTTTGCTAGCACCGCTGCTATGACTCCATCCTAGGGGAAACACTGAATCACCTTGATAAAGATATTTTAACAGAGTTGTAGGTTTGTGCTTTACACTGTTCTACTGCAAGTTGACAATACCACGTCCAGCTGTCAGATCCCTTATTTTAATCTGTAAATCAGAACACATGTTCTGGATGTTTTGATTTGTCATGCATTTTCTGTTTTGTTGGTTGTTTTCAATGCATGCTTGTATAATCAGCACTTTTTTTCCTTTCACTTTCTATGAGTACCTGGATTCCAATCTCTATGTCTTTGCCTCTCTCTCTCCTCCCCAGTCTCAGGGCTCACCATACTCAATGAGCGGACAGCGCAATGTCAGAGCGCTCTGGGCAAACTGCAAAGGGGAAGGAAGGCAAAACCAAGTATGCGTCTCTCAACCTGTTTGATACATACAAAGGAAAGAGTCTTGAAACACAAAAGCCTGTTGGTGAGTATCTTTGGCTTGGTCATGTTCAAGCTTTCATTGTCACACCACATATCTACTGTAATGGATGCCAACCTGTCTTTCTACGCTGGGTATTAGTTTACAATATCGCTTTCCTCACAGGCTCTTTTTACATTCTGCCACTTTAATTTAATTTTGTCACTAAAGTTGTGCGACTTGTTTTGTAATGAATCAGATCTGGGCTTAAAAGACAGATCTGCTGCCCACAGTTGTATTCACCCGTTGGCTGTGATTAAAAGTGGGTTTGTTGTCTCCCGACACCAAGAACCGCAACTTTGATGCATTATCCCACTGTCTCCCTAATAGCTCTGATGCATCTCTCAACTGCCTGCCAACCTGGTTTTGCTGATGCTGCTTTATTCAGCGATCAGGGATATTTACTACCCTTGTATTTTAAGGACTCAACACTAATCTCAGCGAGAGAAAAAACATTGTCTTCTAGAATGTTTTTCTTATCTTTAGTGGTATACAAATTAAGCATGAATATGAATCCAGGTACTCATAGGATGACTGGCTCACATGTCAGCTGAGCCTGGGGGCCACTGGGCCTGACCTGAGACAGAGGCTTACTTGTGGACGCTGTTTGACTTCTGTGCCGAGTCCCCAGTCGATGTTTTATTCAGAAGCTCCCCACTAGATCTAAGCAGCTGTCTGACTACAGACTTCCTCCTCCTACATAGTGAAGCCATGCACTGCTTTGGTTTCTCTGAGCTTGAAGGAAGGAGACAAATGATGGATTGATATTCAGCACAGCTTCACTTTTCAGAATCTAATGGCGTTTCATGCTTCTGTGAGCATCAATATCTTAATACCTCTTCACAAACTGTAATTGAAGTGGGTTTGCTGAAGGTTTTTAATAACATCTAGAAAGCCTTTTTATAATCCATATTCATCAGAATCACCAGACTGAAACTTCCAAGCTTCTAGCCTTATTGGTTTTTCACCATCCTAATATTGTATCCAGCAAACGCTATCCTTGTCATCAAGCCGCTCCTTCAATCAATCAATCAATCAAATTATATTTATATAGCCCAATATCACAAATTACACATTTGTCTCAGAGGGCTTTACAGTGTGTGTAGCATCCTTAGCGTTCTTAGACACTTGCATTGTACAAGGTCCTTAGACCCAGTAGATAGAATTGGTCTCGGGTTTCAGTGGTCCATCTGTGCTAATGATCTCCTCCTCCCCATATCAGTTCCCCCCCGCCATGGCCTGCAGTCTCTTGGTAAAGTTGCCTCCGCACGGCGTATGCCACCACCTGCCAACCTGCCCAGTCTGAAGGCAGAGAACAAAGGCAACGATCCAAACGTCTCGCTCGTTCCCAAAGACGGCTCAGGATGGGCAAGCAAACAGGAACAAGCAGCGGACCCAAAGAGGTATTTAAACCCCCAACTCCCCCTGCAACATCCAAGTTACCAGAATTGGTTGTGGGAAAAAATGTTTTACGGTATAATTTTTCCCAGGCTATCCTGTCTAATTCTGTGGTTTATGACTTTTTTTCTTTCTCTCAGTACCGATGCATCGCCAGCACCGCAGCCGGAATTGCAGCAGCCTGTGGCTTCACCGACACCTGCACCGATCCGCCCGAGAACCCCGCCAGCTTCAGAGGTACAGACTGTCCCAGTGACGTGAATGCAAAATCCTTGGCTTGCATGATAATGTCTGTGGAGAGTTGACATGTATCATATGGGGCTCATTGTTTGTGTGTGTTCCCCCACAGCCTCTGGTGCCAGCTTCAACCCAGGCCGCAGGGGCAAGGTCTTGGGCACAGGCCAGTGGTACACATGGAACACAAGGGGATGGTGAGTCTTACTTTTTGACTTTAATAAGAAGGAAGTTGGAATAAGCTTTTTGTAACCCCTTTATAAAAAAATACATTGACCTAGCAACTTTCTACAGGTGGAAAGGCATTAAACCAACAGTCGCCATTCTCTCGCGAGGAATTTCCCACCCTGCAGGCGGCTGGCGACCAGGACAAAGTTGGCAAAGAACCGGGCACTGCAGATCAGTGGTATGGGCCCGTACCAAACCTCCGCCCCCAGAGTGAGTGATGCTTGCTTAATACCCAATATTAATCAATGGCTCGTCATTTAATTAAGTCAGTTGGGATTGGAAGACTTCTCTTACAAGAGAGAATACAACAAGTGTTTTTTTTAAAGTTTACTTTATGCCTGGATGGTATGCGCTTGCTAACTCTACATTTAATTACGGAATGAGACAAAATAAATACAATTTTACTTTTGTGTTATTTAAAATAATAAGTTGTGTTATCTTTCTCTTACCTTATTTCATTTGGACAAATAAATGATACTGACCGCTCTGTGTTCTCTGTCCTCAGACGTTACAAGTTGGCGGGACGGTGGGGGCCGACCCATGGCGCCCACCCTGTCTGGGGAGGGGGCAGTGGAGGGTGGCCTTGGTGGGGCTCTGGTGATGGATGGGGCAGCTGGGGTCCCCCTTCTGAACTCTCAGTCCCACGGGCCACCTAGGAACCCTCCCGCAGGCAGCCCCGCCTTGCCACTGCCCCAGCCCCCTGTGGGACCTGGGTTCCCGCAATACAGAGGGATCATGCCTCCATTCGTACGTTTTCTTATTGTTTTCCTGGTTGATTTCTAGCAAATATTCTATTATTTGTTTTTGGTTAATATATCTTGTTTTTCACGCTCCACAACTGTGTTGCAGTCCATTTTATTATGTGCTTGGTGTTGACATTAAAGTCTATAGAATGCAATAGCATAGTCTAAGAACACTCTTGAATCTTAACCTGATCTCTTTTTTTGGTTTTTAGATGTATCCTCCCTACCTGCCCTTTCCGGGTCCTTATGGCCCTCAGGGGCCCTACAGGTACCCGGGACCCGGGGAAGGGCCCCCGCCAAGGTATGTGCCATTATTAAGCTAATATTTTGCCACTTGATGACAGATTCTTTAAAAAATATAATCCATTATATTTGACCCTTTGGGGAGACACTTTTTGTTAATCAACTGTTCAATTAAAAGGAAGTTGTTCCCTTTCTCAGGTTCAGGCAGGCTGTTCCTCAGGGCGGCCAACGTGAAGGAGGTGGAGAGGGGCCAAAGCGACCCTCTATCCTAAAGCAGGATGACCTGAAGGAGCTAGACGAGCTGGACCACGACGGAGATGACGGATGGGCCGGTAAAACAAAAAAGGCTTATTTACAAATGTACAACCAACCTGTTAATAGGTTTTGCTATTGGGAACCTGTAACTAAAAATGTCCTGATTGGATAATGATAATTTCACACTAAGAAGGATAAACAGTTTCCCAACAAATGCACCAGAAAAAGGAATCTTTAGTCATGTGGAATGTAGAAAACTGCACCTGCCGCTATATAATAAAGGAGGTTATGACCATTTGATTCAATCATAGGTCACTACGATCGCATGATACAAACATGATTTCAATGTTTTCGTGTGTTTTTAATGTTATGTTTTTGCTTTTAACAGGCGCTCATGAGGAAATTGATTACTCTGCCAAGTTGAAGTTCAGTGATGATGAAGGAGAAGAAGAGGGGGAAGAGGAGAGATCCGAGAGTAAGAATGAATTACGGTATGTGACCAAGTACAGACGGCATAAGATCAATTCAAATTATGTCAATAATGTTTTATTGACAAAAATGGGATTATATTATGCAACTATAATTAATTTGACAAACATGTTTCTTGTCCTCAGTGAGCAGCAGAGGTCCCAGGATGCTCCCCCTGCAGCCTCTCGCTCTCGAGCCTCGGACAGCGGCGGAGAATCTCACTGCACTCCCCCCTCTAATGCTGACAATGGTCCGCAACCCCCCTCCAGCAAGCCAGGATGGGCCGAGGAGGGAGGCGCTGGCGTGGGAGGCCAAGGAGCACCAACAAACTTCCAGGTAGCATCCCGACCTAAAACAAAAACTGTTATTCACGCTGTGAAAGACGTGATGTCCAGCACAGGCCATTTTGGGCGTTCTGTTAAGCAAAGACTTATTGCTGGTCAGCGATGTGTTAGTGTGTGTTTTTGTCAGTGTAGATTATTGTGGTGGAGCATGGCTAACTGTCTGCCTGTATCCAGCGGTGCAGGCCTGGATTGGGTGGTCCCCGGGAGCAGCCCTCCCCCCCACCTGGGCCGCTCCTTGGACAAGGGCCTTACTCCTTTTACCGACAGGTAGCCATCCAGATAGCGCCTCATAGACATATCATTTCTGTCATTAATTCATCCTTGTCCCGGGTCTTATGAATAAGTCATTCTTAGTTTTTCAGTTGGCTTTTTGAGTTTTCTTTTGGTTTATGTATTCATCTAGAGCAGAGGTTTTCAAAACGTTAGATGGGCGTTCACACGGGAGGGGGAGGCGGCGTCCAAACAGTTTCAGGGAAGGCTCAGTGAATAGAAATTATAAAGAATACGCTATTTAAGGAGGGTCACAAAGAATAGTGAAAATGTGGGTTTAGTTAGAGATATAGTTCAAGATCCACAGGTTTATTGTCATAACATATACACAACTAAGGTGTCATTATGTAATATATGGAAGACTTAGACGGCAGGTTTCCTCAACAGTGCAATTTACAAGACATAACAAATATTTTTGCAAAATTGTTCGGTATCTGTGGGATCAAAAACACAAATATGATCCCATTTGTATCCACAAATTGGGAATACTAAGTCAGCTAAGGTGGGGGCTGTGGAGGTGCTTTTATCCCAGCATTTTCTGAAGGTAGGCCCACAGTCTCTGAAAACCACTGATCTAGACAGTTAGAAAACAGCATAATAAAGCAATCCATTTTCAACTGTTCAGGACCGGGCCCAAAACCAGGGTACCTCTCAAGGCCCGGGGAAGCCTCTGCCCGCCCAGCACCAGCCAGCACCAGGAGGCCCCTCTCCAAATGCCCAGCCTCAGGACAACGATGAGGATGAGACTTGGCGCCAGCGCAGGAAGCAGTCCTCCACTGAGATCTCTGCTGCTGTAGAGCGAGCCCGTCGCCGCCGCGAGGAGGAAGAACGTAGGATGGAGGAAGAGAGACGTGCAGCCTGTGCAGAGAAGCTGAAGAGGCTGGACGAGAAGCAGCAACAGCAGCTGGGCAGCAACACAGACGGTGGTAGCGAATGTAAAAGCCCCAGTCTGGATGGAAACTCTACTGCTGCCACAGGAGGCAGCCCTTGTCCATCTATTTCAGCCTCTGCATCCTCCCCTAACATCAGCCAGCCCCCATCCCCCTGTGTTGACCCCGAGGAGCCTCCAGTGCTGCCGGGGTCCAGTCCTGGAATCATCGAACGTCAGCGAGCCAGCAGCAACAGCAGCTATGACTCCAGTGCAGGTCAGTTTCTTTGTTCTATTATTAGGATCACTTTCATGTGATACGTCTTTCTTATGTTTTAAAATATAGCAGTTTTTATATAAAGCCTCCGCATATTGATTAATGCCCCCTTTCAACCTTTCAACCTTCTGTCTTGGTTCAGAAGCGCCACAGTGTCCCCAGCCGGCTGTGTCACAGCCCCTGCAGCCCGCACTGGACGTGCCTTTACCAGAGGAACCCAAGGAAGAGGCCGTTAGCGCCACACACATTCGTGCTAGCAGTGGAGGTGAAAGAGGAGTAGACCCGGTGAAGATGGAGAATATCGGAGGGGGAGCAAGTCGTCAAGCTGGAGGTCCTCCAGGCCAGGGTTACTCGAAGTACCAGAAGTCTCTTCCACCTCGGTTTCAGAGGCAGCAGCAGGTTAGGATCCGTACTTATGTCGCAAATGAGTTTCGCTCATTTTACATCTTATTAATACCAACATATAATAACCATAAAAGCTATGTCTATTACTACAAATGCAGCCATGCCTTTTAGTAGGTATTTCTGATATTCCTGTTGTTAAATATTGATGCTATGTTTTGCGTTCTGTTTCCATCTAGGAGCAGCTCCTGAAGCAGCAGCAGCAGTGGCAGCAGCAGCAGCAGCAGCAGCAGCAACAACAACAACAACAACAACAACAACAACAACAACAACAACAACAGCAACAGCAGCAGCAGCAACAGCAACAGCAGCAGCAGCAGCAGCAGCACAGCCAGGCTTCACAAAGCCAGCTGTCCCCCCAGCCCCAGCCTCAGCAGGGTCCTTCACCAGGTTCAACACCCCAGCCAGGCCCTGGACCTAAGCAGGGTGGCCCCATGTATCAACCCGGCAACATGGTTCGACCCCCGCCCCTGCCAATGAATTTCGACCCTCGCTGGATGATGATGCCCTACATGGACCCCCGCATGATGCAGGGCCGCCCTCCACCTATGGACTACTATTCAGCAGGCATGCACCCGTCTGGTGAGTTGATGCTTTGAAGATAAATAACTCCGGTGTAATGCTGGTAAAGTAATTAGATTAAATAATACTATCATAATACAGAAAGTGAAGTAAAGTCAACAATATGTCTTGTTTTTATTTTACATTATCCGTTTAGATATTTTCTTGAAAAATAATGATTTACTTCTACAGGGCTTATTGGGCGTGAACGGTCTGATTCAGGGGGGTCTGGTTCAGACCCCTTTGATAGGCAGCAACAGCATCCTGGGCACCCTCACCGTGGGACCCCCCCTATGGATCCTAAGATGGCCTGGGGGCAGGAGGTATTCCCTGGTGGAGTAGAGGGCCGTGGACTAACCTCCCCACTCAGACAGAAGCAGGCATTGGAGGATGACGATGTGGCCAAAGGGCCCAGGTAAGGATACACCTGTTTTTATGCTCAAAGTGTCGAGAATAAAAGTTATTTTGTAATACAGTTGAACTGAGCCTTTTTTTAAATGTATTCATTGAGTATTCTTTCAATCTTTCTCCAAGGAGCGACACTCCTCCTCATCGCATTCAAGAGGGTAGATTGGGACCCATTCAGCAGCCCAGCTCCACCTCTGGGACATCCAATCAGACACCGCCGCTAGTTGGCAATCAAGTTGGGACCCAGGGCCACCACCCTCATCACTACATGAGTGGGCGGGGCAACTACAGCAACTTCCCTGACCAGGGTGCGAGGATGCATCCCCACCAACAACAGAGGGCGGAGAGGGGAAATCAGCAGCACGCCTACACCCACCAGGAAGAAGGACCTCCACGAGGGTCTCAGCAGGGACAGATATGGGGAGCCCCTCACCCTCACTATGATCGCAACGGCCGTACTGAACATCCCCCAATTGAGAGCAACTCTCATCTCCACCACCATCACAGCCACCACCCTCAGCAGCCTCACTTCCCTCTCCATGGCCATAAGCCAGAGAACAACAGGGTTGTTGAGGCGCCTGCTAAGAAGACTGACTCTTCTCCCCCAATCAACCAACCTTCCCTCTCATCCTCTTGCTCTTCCTCCTCCTCCTCTGTCAGAGAAGATGGGAATGTCAAAGCTGTCCTGCACCATCACCCGAATCAGAGAGAGAGTGAAGGGCACAGTCAGGCTGAAAGAGGCAACAGTGGCAGTAACAACCATGTGAAACAGGAGAAAACCGGCCCAGCATACACTCCCCATTCCTCCATGACCCCTAGCCCAACCCCTGCTCAACATGGCACTCAAACTCAACAGCAGCAGCAGCAGCAGCAGCAGCAGCAGCAGCAGCAGCAGCAGCAGCAGCAGCAGCAGCAGCAGCACCACCACCCTCATGCTAAACCAAACCAAAGAGGGGGGCGGGAACACAAAACGGAGACCCAGTGGGGCCCACGACCTGGAAGCAGCAGTACTGGTGGGGGGTCCTCTCATGGTAGGAGGGCCAACAATGCTGGAGGTGGGAACCACTCCCGTGGAGGGGAGGACTCTAACACTCCATCGGACCACAAACCCTCCAACCAGACAGGGGGCAGCAATGCCAACAGGAGGGCCGGCCCAATTAAGAAGCCGGTGCTGAAAGAGATGAAGAGAGACGGAGGGGAAGCTGATGGGGGAGAAAAGAATATCTTTAATAAGGATAAAGAGAAGGATAGTAGCCAAACCACCTCGGTGAAGCAGGAAGGCTCCTCCACCTCCCAGAACACATCAGCTCCATCTAAAGATGAGCCAGCTCAGACAGCCAAACCCAGGAATGGAGGAAAAGAACGAGGAGGAGGAGGAGGGGGGGGCGGGTCTGGTAGAGGGCCCAAAGATGGAGATGCCACTTCTTTAGGATTTTCAGGTTCCTCCTCCAGGAGGGACAGGGACCGCTCCTTTGAGAGAGGAGGAGGCCCCCCCCACCACCATGGGGTCCCTGCCAAAGGCAGCAGAGTCAGTCGCGGACGAGGGGGAGAGTTCTACGGCCGTGGCCGTGGTTTCCGTGGCGCTTACACCGCCGCTGCTGGGCCCATTCCCGGCGGTCGGGGCAGAATGGGTGGCAGGAGCGGCAGAGACTACCGTTCATCTGTCGGCGGTGGCCACAACCACGAGTCAAAGGGCGAGGGAGCCGGGGGTCGGCACGGTCAGGATCGGTCCCAGCATAACCCGGCCAGAGCCAGGAACCGCAGTGAAACCCGAAGCGAGGGCTCAGAGTACGAGGAAATCCCCAAGAGAAGGAGGGAGAGAGGCTCAGAGACCGGGAGTGAGAGCGGTGCAAGTGACCTCGGCCCCTCTGACAAGGACGAACACCCGAAGCCCAGCAAGAATGGCTCTGACAACGCCAATGCCACCGGCAGCGTTAACATGTCATCTGCACCACCCAGAGGATCCCAGGCCCGGGTGTTTACACCAAGAGGTGTGCCCTCAAGGAGGGGCAGGGGTGGAGGAGGTGGAGGAGGTGGAGGAGGTGGAGGAGGTGGAGGAGGAAATATGTACCGAAGTGGTGGCAATGTTGGAGGCCCACCAGGGGGACACAGGGGCGGACCCGGCCCCGCCTCTCAGGGTGGGTCCTCCAAGTCATCAGGCTCAGCCCGAAAGCAACAAGGCCCGCCTCATACCTCTGGACCCAAAGACTCGGGCAGGGGAGGAAATGGAGGAGAGAAGAAAGACAAAATAGCTGATGCTAGTCAAACTCAAAGTCAGGGGTCCAATCCCCCTCAGCCGTCTCTGCCCGCTGCACCTCCTGCCAGTATATGTTCCACTGAAAATGGCGGAGTTGTGACGCAGCAAGCTTCGACCAATCCTACGCCCAATCCTACGCCGAACTCAGGAGGGCCAAACGCTCCTCTTCCCACTAACCGTGGGTTCCCTCCCAGCGGGTTTGAGCGCCCACCCAGGCGTCGTCGTCATGGGCGGTCCCAGCACCAGCAGGACAAGCCCCCCCGCTTCCGTAGACTGAAGGAGCGAGAAAACGCAGCACGCATCAACGGAGGAGTGGGGGTCATCGGTGGAGGAAGGCCCTCCTCCCCTTCCCTGAATTCAGTTCAGGACAGTAACGGAGCACCCACCTCAGCCCCTGTCACGGGCAATGCCCAAAATACTAACCACACCACACCAACAACCAACAATAACAGTGGTGGCGGGCATCTCGGCAATGCAAATAATCACCATCATCACCACTACAACCAGGGCAACGCCGGACAGACGCACCCCCAGCACCACCACAGCCACGGAGCAAAGTCCCCCGACTTCACCAACCAGAACTCGGACCAGGCCAACGAGGAATGGGAGACTGCCTCCGAGAGCAGCGACTTCACAGAGTTCAGAGACAGGGAGGGAGGAGGAGGGGGGAAGACCTATTCTTCTCACCATCCCCACCACGTGGGAAGGGGTGGAGGGGGAGGTGGTGGCGCGGTCGACCGAGACATGTCGGGGAAAGAGCCCTTGGCTAATAAAAGAAGCTTCTCAAGCCAGCGTCCAGGCATGGAGCGACAGAACCGAAGGGTCAACCATGGAGGAGGTGGTGGTGGTGGAGGAGGAGGAGGAGGAGGAGGAGGAGGAAGAGGCCCACGAGGGCCGCCCGGTGGCGGCTCCGGTGGTCCTGGAAATGGAGGAGGCAACCGCGGGGAGAGGCGTGGCAACTGGCCCTCTCCAAAAAATAGGAAGTGATGAAAAACATTTCAGATGAACCCCACCCACATTAAAAGCACCCTCTTACATCCTAATCCCTTTTTGATAATTACTTCATGGCTTATCTGTTGGCATCCCTAAACATATTAGTGCATTGAACAGTTAATGGAGATAGTATTTACCTTAGCAACAACCCACTATCTACCGTCCGTTATTGTACATTTCTCCGTTTGTTCCTTCTTGCTCTCCGTTCAGTTGTGCCCCCTCCTGCCCCCTGCCTCCCTTATCTTCCCTCAAGAACCTCACCCCAGTTGGATTTGAATAAGCATGTGGTTCTGCAAATGGGAGGTGCACGACGTTTTGACAGACATTCACACAGAGATCCACACACTCACATATACAAGCACAAATCAGACATCTTTACGAACACACGGAACACATGCAGTCATGTGGGTGCAAAACGAAAAACGGGGGATTAAATTGGCAAAAATGGATTGGGCAAATTTTTATATTTATGTACCGGTGTATATTTCTACCACACTTTGGCCTTGGGTGGTATTCAGTAGTGCAGTGCTGCATTACCCTCATTTCCCTCACAAAGGGAAAAAGCTGCAGCTTCATCTTTTAACGTGAACAATGTACCATAAGATGTTTTCTCTTTGTGTCTTTTTTTTGGCCTTGTGTCAGATGAGTTTCAACCTCTCAGCAAATGTTAGGGGTGTGGGTATTTTCTTCTAAAACGCAGGTAATTAAAAACCTTTTTAATAAATTCCCCAAATCCCCTTTTTGATGACTTTTTGGTCTCTTGCAAACTATGTCTATGATTACTGTGATAGGACCCATCAAAGTACTACTGCTTAGTGCTCACCTACACTTTGCATTGATCACATTGATTTGTCTTTAATATCAATGTTTCTGCAGCTTGTTCAGATCGATGGTGTGATTTTGTCCCAACCCCTAAAAAGTTGTTGACCTGCTCTGACATTTCATTTGGTAGTGGTTGGTCCTTTTTAGGAAATGATGGCTTTTTAGCCTCATCGTAGCATCCTCCTTAAGTTCTGCATCAGTTTCCCCAAGTTTTATTCTCTCATTTGAGTTTTGTTTACCCTTTCAAGACTGTATTAATAGCTTAATGGCTTTATTTTAACAACCATTATTTCCTCAGTGACTTCCATTTGTATGGAAACACTTTTTTTTCTCGGAAGATAAAATACCTATTGATCTTGTGAGGGGGGAAAACGAGTTAAGTGAAAATGTAGGCCATGTTAGAATTAAGAAAAAAAAAGTTTGACTTTCATAAAAGTTGTTTATGCTTTAATAGGTAATTAAATATATGTTCTAATAAGCACTCCTTGTAGTATAACAACAATCAAATGTTTGCAGTTCTTTTTTAGTTTTTTTTCTTCTTTGTTTTTTTTGGGCAAGTTACATGTCATGCATCAGGACAGGTACTCTGTCTGGGCCCAGAGTACAGAGATAAGGATGAATATTGTACTAAAACACCCCCTCTGTGTACTCTTGTGGAGACTCCTCACACCGAGAAAGGACTAATACCAAGAGCTCTGAGTCTGACAAAGTGTGTGTTCTCGGGATGGCTGTTCCAGGACAACCAGAAGCCCAAACTAATAGATTTCAGGACAATGCTGCAACACAGTTTCCAAGATTTCACTCGCAACAAATAATGCAGACCTGGAGTGTTGTGAACATATTTGGATTGATGTAGAATTACACATGTAAACATAGTTTGTATCATACTTAAAATACATAAAAATGGCACACAGACGGAATCCAACTAAAATCGATGTATACATCTGCATCAATTCTGTCACTGCTGTAAGTTGGGGTGTGTTTGTTTACTGACAACAGTTTGAAGATGGGATGTTGTGAGTAGGGCATTTGATGATTTGTGTACGTTGTGTGTGTGTGTGTGTGCTGGTGTGTATGTGTGTGTGTGGCATGTGTGCGTTTTCCGGTGTTTGCATAATAACTCGGGGGAAGGGGTGGGGGACCAGAGGGGTTTAACATGAATGGCAAGCACTTTTCTGCCTTGTTTGCCCACATGTGATTTAACCATCATTATTAAGACAATTCTACTGTTTCTTAAATACATCCACATGTATACGTTCAGCTGTGTCTACATGTTCAACATCCAAATGAACACGCAGTGGAGAACTTCACCCTTTTTTTGTGTGTGTAATTTAATCATACATTCTTCTGCAGGCAAGTGAAGTTGGACATACTTTATTTTTCTCACTTCTAAGCATGAACACACACCCATGGGTGCAGCTTGCTTTGCCTGTTTATACATTGATAGCTGTACACTTAAACTCTGGCTCAAAGAGTCCTTCATCCCTCCTTTACTCTTAATGTTGATGTGCGCATTATTTTATGTACCCATGTTAAAAGAAAACTAAATTAGTGTATTCCAGAAAGAAATTACTCAAAGATTGTACTATGTTTCCAGCATTACCAAGGTACCTGGAGTGGTTCAAACTGTTTTTTAGCATTTATGGTTTTATTAATGGAACCGTAATATACACACATGTCTGTATATTGGTATGTATCTAAGTTTTGTCTACCCCAACTTACATTCCCACCAACAAATGTTGCCATTTTTAGTTCAAGGGAGCAATGTACAAGCAGAGAAGTGTCTTATTATAATAAAGTTATACAGAGAAGGCAAAGTTAAATAAACTACTTTTGATTTAATGGAAAATGAAATGGCATGTCTCATTCTTTGTTTTTATATTTGAAACAAAACTTCCATTTCACATGTTTTGACAGGTCATAGCAAGAAAAACTTGTAGTAGGTAGAATGGTTTGATTCAATGTAGGTGTGTCAGTGAATCACTCAAAGCAGCCAATGGCTGCAACTATGTTGATAGTTAAACATACTAATATCTAACTATCAACTATGTTGATAGTTAAACCTGTTTTTCACAAAATGTCCTTCATGAAAGTTAATTTGCTGTTGATATTTATTATTATTTTATAATCCATTTCTGTAGAACTAATGTTAAGCTATTAGTTATTTAAAAAGTACCACATTATAAATATTACAAACTTGGAAATAATTTACACTATGTTGCAAATCTGCTAACCTAACTTTCCGAAGCATGGATGATGATTTTAAGATGTTTTTAAAAAATGTTTATAGTTAACTAATTTAAAAAAATGCATCTTATAGCATAAGTTATTTGTATCCGAAAATTAGACTGAGAGACAACCTAATAGGGAACATGGATGGAGGCTGTTAAAATTATGTGAATTTAGTATCGAATTAATGTTTGACTGCCTGATATTGACAATTCCTAGAGGCATTTGAACACATCAAACGCGGATAGGGTATCTTTAAACCCATACTTTTTCTTCTTTATTGCAGCAATAACATTTCTCAACATTTTTCAATCTAATGTTAGTTTTATTGGCGTGTGTAAGGCTCCTGATAGGAAAAGTGATAATATTTGAGGGAAAGGGACATTTGAATCCTCAGATTAAAGACAAAGTTACAGCATGTTATTGAAAAAGAGGCACCGTAATGTACATTATCCATAGACTAAAACACACTTATCCCCAACAACAAAACGGAAGGTAGCAGCACCAGATGTCACACACTGACTTTTCTTTGTGTAGGGTTCATAGGGTTATTATATTATAACTACCATAATATATTGCATTCCTGAGGTATAGGCAGACAGAATACTTTACAAGCTGGTGATAAGTTACTACAAGTGGTCATTGTTTGCTTTAGGTAAAGTGAATACTCAAAAATAAATCAAAACTAAAATAAAAGTATTATGAAACCTCACCTTGTCAAATGCTTAATGTGCTATGATTATTGTTATAAGAATGTTGAATATTAATGAGTGCTTACTAGGTACTAGCCCTAATTTTTCTGCCCAAAAATGTTCCTGCAAATGTATACATTTTTAACACTTGTATTTATTGAACACATTTGGTTTAGGCAAGCCCGGAAAACTTCCCCAGAGGAAACCCAAAAGTTCAGAGATCCTCAACAAACATCACCCCCCTCACTCCATTGTCTCGAAGGCGAATTCTCCTCCATCACTATCCGACAACATCTCCAAATGTTCATTCTGATAGCAATAACTCCAAAGAAAAGTAATCTAGTTCTAGTAGTCTAGTTCTAGTAGTTCTACTATTACTAAACTGGAAGACGGAACGAAATAACCTATTTCTTTATTTTATAAGATTGAACCACTGGCTCAATCTTATAACAGATCACACATGCTCACGCCAGTTTGGACAGACACTTCCCACAGGATCAACTAGCATTTACTTATTAGTAATAATATACCCAAATGTTTAGTTTCGGACACAAACGGGTTACAGAATAAATCAGAGCAGTACTCAGAGTTGCCACGGGGCGGCAGCAGCGCCTCGGCGGCGTGGTGAGCTGCCTGCGAGTCTCGGGAGGTCGAGGAAGAACCTGGAGGGTGAACTGGGAGCTGGTGTCCATCTTATTTACACCGGTGAGATTGCTCAATTTTTGATCTGTCGGATTTTTTAAGGAGTATACAAGTTGAAAGCCCGGTAAGTTGGCAGAATCACCCACACAACCACACTGGGAGGTTTAAACTCAGAGCCGGAGTGAGCTCCGTAAAGAGCTGCTGTTTGTCATGAGGCCTGTGTCCCAGCGATGCGCCATGTTGTATTGAGTTTAGCTTAGCGAGCTAACCACGGCTACATTAATTTAGCCCTGTATCGTAGCATATTTCCACCACGTATATATATATAAGACTTGTTTGATCTTTAATAACACACGTTGATGAAGGATTTAAGACCAAAAAACGATACTAAAGTGACTACTTTATAAAGATAACTGTGTTCAATAGGTACCGCTAGCCTGTTAGCTTAGCTCTAATCAGGTTTGGGCAACAGCAAGCGTCAAGTTACTCTTATTATGAAAGAGTATTACATAGTTTCTGCACAAGAAAACTCACATTCTGAAAATACGGAGAATTCATTTGACCAGTTGAAAATATTAATTTGAAACTGGAAATTATTATACTTATGTTTCAAAGTGTGAATTCATTGTTGCTAGTTGGTTTATTTCTGGATTATAATGGAGTATCCCCCCTCTCTTCAAAAGGTCTTCAGAGATGAGCAGTTCAGAGGAAGTGTCATGGATCTCCTGGTTCTGTGGACTAAGGGGAAACGAGTTTTTCTGTGAGGTGAGTCTCTACTCTGTCTGAGCACAGTCATTGTTGCCACCCAAACACCCATGTAGCCTGAGTCAAAAATATCCCATGGTTTGGATTATTGTTAACCAGAACTAATGACTCCAGTATAGTGTATTAAACTCCATATTAACATGTATCTCCTAGTTTAACTTCCACCACCCACACGCAGGCCCAGGGTTAAGTATTTTAATGAATGTAACGTTTACATCACTTCTAGTGAAACATTGTTAACCACTGACACCAAAATTCAAAACTGTAAAATATCCTGTGGAAATTCAATTTAAACTTACTGGGAATGAAATATTAACATACATTGGTTCAGGAGACTTATTGATTAGTGGCACACTCTTTAAATCAACCACTCTTTAATCTTTAGGCTTGGAGGAAGTTTTCAAGTATTTTCAAAAGTCTCAAGTCCAAGTGAAGTCTTATTTTGTGTTTTTGGAAAAATGGTGTCAAGCAACGAAAGAGTAACAAAAAAAGATGTCATATAATTGAGCATAGTTTCTAACATAAAAGTAAAAAGAAGAAACTGAGTAATTCATGTTCATTTTGGTCAGTTTACACTTGCTTGACATTGTTTTTCCAAGCCTTTAAGATGCTAAAGTAAACATTGTTTTTTCGGTTCACACATTTACACCCCATGGTCCTTAATAAATAGGTTCACGATTCCTTTATTCATATGTACTGTCAAAGTTATTTGAAGCTGTGAGCATTCCTGCTCATACTGGCCCTGAAGAGATCCCAATATAATTCAATTACAGTTTATGAATGGGTATTTTGAGCCTCAGCCCATGGTATCACATTTACAAAGGGATCTCTTCAGCACCCGCATGTACAGGTTGATTCCAGAGTCTAAGAGACTCAAATGTACTTTCTGGCATGATTCAAGAAATGTATATCCTGTCTGCTATGTGCCACACTCAGAGATAATCCGTTTTCTCATCTGATTTCTCCATCTGAAGGTGGATGAAGACTACATCCAGGACAAATTCAACCTGACGGGGCTCAATGAGCAGGTTCCCCACTACCGCCAGGCCCTAGACATGATCCTGGACCTTGAACCAGGTCTGTATTTATTAATGTCTTACATTTAGTCAAGCAAATGTTACCAAAGTTAGGAGTCTATCGTCACATTTGTTTCTTTTCTCACACAAGACAAGGAGCTGACCCGAGCTAGCCTAGCACTAAATAATCATGATTAAAACCACCATAATATCACAGTTGATATGAACAGCTGTTAATATAAACAAAGTAACATTATGAATTCATTGCTGATGGTTTAAGGAACTTTTATTTTTGGATTTGAATTGAACAACTTCAAATGTTTTGATAAAGTGGACAAGAGTCTGGATTATTGAGATTAAGGTACTATGAAAGTGCTCCAAACATGCTTTTATTCTATTGAAAAGCTGTAAGAAACACTGAAAACCTTTCTCTGCTCAGTTTTGCCTCCCTGTGAATCGTAAAAAGAATTGCGGCATTGACAGTGTTCTCCGTCCCCTTCTTTTCCAGATGAGGAGCTGGAGGACAATCCCAACCAGAGCGATCTGATCGAGCAGGCGGCTGAGATGCTGTACGGCCTCATCCACGCACGCTACATCCTCACCAACCGAGGCATCGCACAGATGGTAGGCCAGCAAAGCCCACAACCCATATCTGCGTTAGGGAACCTCTTTTTTCATTGCTTTGTTTTGATGGGCTGGTTACATCATGTGACATTTAAGTTGTTAGTTTAAACAATACTGATGATGACGACGTACATTTCAATTGTTTTTCTGCATGTATTTATTGTGTTTAAACATGTTTTCTTTCTGCATAGTGGCACATCAGGCTAGCTTTATATTATCAGTATTATGCTATTTGTAGAAATAATTTCAGCCAAACCTTTTGTAAACAATCAAACATACAGTTTATAAGTTATTATACGTTTGTTTCTTTGTAGCCTTTATTTATCCAGGTAAAAATCCCATTGAGATCAACGATCTCTTTTACAAGGGAGAACTGCCGCATTTATTGAAAAATGATACATGTAGTAACTTCCAAATGTCACAACATTTTGTTTTATGTGACAAACTATTCTGGTTCAATCTTTGTTGGTGTTTAGACCTTTTTATGAAAAACATTAAAATGACAAATGTTTGCTGTTGTTGTTGACGTTTGTATTTATTCACATTACTTTATATTAACATGCTCTTTAATACCTTACAGCTGGAGAAGTATCAGCAGGGAGATTTTGGCTACTGCCCACGTGTCTATTGTGAGAATCAGCCTATGCTTCCTATCGGTGAGTAACAAGATTCATAACAAACAGTCTTTTTTCTTGTGGAAAGAGGGCGTTTTATTTCCTACACATGAAGAAGGAAGTATTTGTACTGTACCAGTGCTGTATCTATTTTTGATCTAGTAGATTTACTCTCTTCCCTGTCCTCCCCCACAGGTCTGTCAGATATCCCCGGAGAGGCCATGGTGAAGCTGTACTGTCCCAAATGTATGGACGTCTACACACCAAAGTCC